TATGTATGTATGTATGTATGTATGTATGTATGTATGTATGTATGTATTTTTTCCTAGAGTTGCTTTTCTCACTGCTGAACGAGGGCCGTATTGGCCTCAGGTGCTGCACCGCTGCCAGGTTGGTGGTCTAGAAATAGTCGACGTGCATCTCAGCATCGTCGGCGAGACTTTCTTCTTCTGGCGTTTCTGGGCTTGGTGTCGGACTCACCAGTGAAGGCTGGGTTGCAGTAGGTTGTTGTGCATCTGCATTGCCTGCTGGCTGTGATCCGGCTGCTCGGCTGGGTTTCATGGCCTGTTCCGGATCCTGCCGATCTTCCCTCTTCGTGAGAGGTGTGGTGAAGTGCAGGCGTTTTGGCCTGGGTCCAGTGCTGGACAATGGTGTGGCCGTGGTTGTTTGAGATCCAGTTTTCTCTTCTTCAGCCTGTGTGGGCGGTGTGGCCTTGAAGAAGGTGTGGATAGGTGGGGATCCCTTGGTTCCTGTGGATAGGTGTGGATAGGTGGGGTTCTTTGAGGAAGTTTGTCGAAGTGATGATGCGGCGGTTGCTATCCAGATGCAGCTGCAGGCCGCACATTGCGCAGCTGATCTTTTGCCCTTTTTGCCACAGTTGGTGGCTGGGATGGCCATTATGAACGCCATCGAAAGGGCAGTCCAGGCATGGTGTCTGGATGTAGGCGTTGAAGGCCTGCTCATTGACCCGCTTGTGGACACTGGTTCCACACTTTGTGCATTTGAGGTATCCTGTGGTCTCCTCAAAATGATGCTGGTCGGGAGCCGGTGCCGTGTTGATCTGGGCTTGGAGCAGGTTCCTGATGATCTGGGCACGGGTGAGCTTTTTGGTGGGCTTGGTGGCTTCCTGCCCTGGATCTGGACATGCATTTTCGGCCAGCTGCTGGGTGCAAGTTTCAGCTAAGCGGTCCTCTAGCTGTTGGGCTGTTAGACCTTGGTGCATGCGTGTACCGCAGGTGGTGCAGGCATAACCACTCCTCTGCGGGGCCCATCTGTGGCGCGTTTCCTGCCAGGGTTTGGTGCACTGGTGGATGAGGTCTTTCTTCCGCTGTTTGGTTTGTTTCCCAGGTTGCCGGTCTGCTTTGGTATGCAGGTAGTGCTGCTTATCCTGGAAAATCTTCTCAAGGCGTTGTGCTGCCTGAAGATAAATGGCTTTGTGGTCCTGGTCAAGTGTTTTCTGCCAATTGGTTTGACTACGGTCATGGAGAGCATCAGCCCTCTCCCAGGCAGTCAAGGCGGCGTCTCTCTGTCTCCTGCGGAGTTGAGGTTCATTGCCAGGTGCATCTGGAGTCCTGGTGTTTTTGCTGATGTACAGGACGGTGATGCGGTGTCGATCCTGGTCAGTGATCTCAGCCAAAAGGTCTGGGTAAGGATGCTTGTGGGGTCGTTTTTGCCATGCTTCCCAAACGGTGCTCAGTTGCACAATCACCTTAGCGGGTGCTGTGGTGTGTTTTGCCAATGCCACTAGGCCTGCGAAAAGTGCCCTGCCCTTGGTTTGTTGCCCGCTGGCTGCTCCAGTGATTGCTCCGAGGCGCTTCAGTTGCCCCATCGTTTGTGTGCGCAGGCATAGGCCGAACACCCAGATCTGGCTTCTGGTGTCGTAGTGGTTAGGAGTGGCATCGAGGGTGAAGGCAAAACCGGCATACTGGTCAAGGCCGATGGGTTGCAGCTCCTTCCACACTCCGTGGCCTTGGTAAGGGTGGCCCTGGTGCAGATGTTCTTGTGGTTCGAGTGGTATCCAGCCTTTGGACCACAGGGCTTCTTCTTCAGGATTTGTGATGCGGCTTGTGTGGCTGGTTCCTGTGCCATTTGCACAGCCATAGCACATGCTTTGCCGTAGCCGGGACGTGACAAAGGGACATGGCTTGGGTCCCTGTGCATCACGGAAGTGGAGAGCACCCTGGACCCAGGTTTGCAGGTGTCTCGACTGTTGTTCTGGTAGCTTGGGTTTGAGGCTGCGGTATGTGTGCCAGTCAAGCCCAGTGAGCAGGTGTTGGTGATGCGGCCTACGAGCAAATCTGTTGGTGCGCTGTTGTTGTGCCTCAGTGTTCAGTCGATGTTCGATCTGCCACCATTGGTCCGTGATGTGCACTTCGGCGGCTAGCATGAGGTCTGTCTCAGGTCTGGTCCAGCGCAACAAATCCTGAACATTCCATCCCCACTCCAGCAGGTAGGCTATCGTGGCTGCCATGGGACCTTTCACAGTATACCACGGGTGCTGCTTAGCCTGTAGGCTTTCGAGAGTGGCCGTCCAGGCCTGCTGTAGCTGTGGAAGCTGGTCTGCTGGCCATGCCTGGATGATGGCGCGGACGTGATGGATGATGATCTGGTGGTCTGCTGGGTCCACATATTTGTTCTTGTGGATGTCATACGAGTGCTTGTCGAAGTGCTTGTCTGTACCTGGG